GAGGGTGGTGAATGCTTTGGGATTCTATTGTGGAGGCCATTTTTTTTAAATTGAATTTTAAAAATCAGGGATAAAAAAACTTTTAAGATAAAAAAATTCAAATTTAAAAAGGGCACAACGAGTAGATCTTTGTCGTAGATGCGGTTAAGCACTTTCAACTACGAAATCGCTCTGATACCAATTGTTATTCGGTTTAGTCATTGTGCCCACGCCTTAGAGGGGGGATGAATAAGGCGTTTAAAAATCTTTTCAGAGTTTGATAAAAATGGTGTTGGAAAATGCGGAAGCAATAAGTAAAACGCAAAAATAAAAGCGTAAAGTAAATGCACACCGATTTTATACTGGTTCGGGAACTCCCTACTCCAGTACCTTAAGGCTCCTCCTTAAGGATTTCCGAATCCACTAAGTCTCGGTCTCTTGAACTCCGTCAAAGCACCGCACTAGTTTGGCAAACAACCCTTGCCAATAAGATTCACTCCGAGATTTTACAACGGCTATCTCGTACCGTTCCCCCAAGGATTTCAAAGGCTATCCTTGAACCTTTACCCAAGGATTTATACGGCTATCCTTAACCGTTACAATGTGAGAATTTAACGGCTATTCTCGACCGTAAGAAGGTGTGTTTGAAAAACACAAACAAGAGTTCTACACAACGGCTTGAATATAAGAATGAAAAACAAAACTTAGCCGGTGTAGAAGACAAGTATACTCTCTCAAAAATACAATTCAAACTTATGAATATGAGAGTATATAACTAGAAACACAAGCTCAAAGTGTGTGTATAAAAATCAGGAATTTAAGGCTTTTGAAATAGCCAAAATATTGAAAATAATTAATAAAAGAATGAACACACTTAGAATATAAAGGGAGGATGTTTAGAGCTTTGTTTCTTATTAAAATATGAAGTATTAGGCCTATATTTATAGTGGAAGATGTTAATTAGCCGTTAGGAGGTGATTAGAGTTAAATTAATTCAAAAATCAGCAATCAGGAACAGTGTTCTAACGGTAACGGTACCCTGTCACGGTAGCTAGGTCCCGTACGGTAGCTAGGTACCTTCTCAGGCCAAAAACTCTGTGGCGATACCTATACACGGTACCTATACACGGTAGGGGGGTCCCGTGATACGGTAGGAGGGTCCCGTGATACGGTAGGGGGGTCCCGTCTCAGGCTAACTCACGGTACCCCTTACGGTACCCCTTATGGTACCCCTTACGGTACCCCTTACGGTACCCCTCACGGTACCCCTCACGGTACCTAGGTACCTTATGACAATTTTGACAATTTTTTCATTTTTGTCCAAATCATTTCTAATTTTGTTTAAAACCTTTTGGATGTTTGAAAGTGATTATAAAAAGGTTTTAAACATATTTTGTGAGTGTTTTTGAGCTTGTGAATATAGGTATATAAAATCATATCCTTACATCGGTTTCTACCTAAATTCTACGCTAGTTTAGTGTTTCGACTTCATTCTTGAGAACCGAATCTTAATGGATTCTTGTTGTACCTGAAACACTTAAACAAACGTCAAGCTCTTATATTGTTTGTTAACATCAAAACATGAGGCTTAGCAAACCAAGGCTAACACACGGTACCATGTTACCGTATGATATCCCCTACTATGAAGGGTACCATGACCGTTGGTAGTTCCTATAGCTAATTTTCAATCCAAATTTAAAATATCCCTAATCACTCCCCAATGGTCCTAAACATACCCTACTCGATTTTATCCTTTCCAATCCTATATAAACCCCCTCTAAGTCTCTTTTTTTGTACAACAACATCTCATAACATCCGAAGGACTTCTTATAATATTTTTGAGTGTTCTATAGATTTGTTCTTCTTTTTCATCACTCTTTAGATATTGAGTTTTTATTACTTTTATACATTCACACATAAGGATATTTTTTATTCATTAATTTATAACTTTCCCATAGGCTATTGGTTTTGTTGATTTATTATTTTGTTCTTCTTGAAGAATGAATATTTTCGCATAAATTATTATGGGAGATTACATGTGTATATATACAAGAGTTTCCTAATGATAATAGAAAACAGTATTAATTACACCCTATACAATTATGGAAGCTACCAATATACATTAATATTAAATATAGTAAGAATATATTTAACACTTCTCCTACCCAACTCGAATTATTTATTCTTGGTAGAGAAGAAACTTCATATAATTATTATCTTGTAAAAGGTGTGGACAGCCTTTAAATCCTCATTGTGCTAAAAGGTTGAAGATAGCCTTAAATTCTTCTTTGTGAAGCAGTCGAGATAGTCATTGTAAAATCTCGTTACTTTTTGGAAAGAGTTATTTGCCGAATCTCATTTAAGTCTTCTTAGTGAAGCCAAACAAGTTAGTGGAGGTTATATCCTTGAGGAGGAGCCTCGAGGTACAGGAGTAAGAAGTTCCTGGACCAGTATCAAATCATAGTGTCGTTCTCTTTTCTTTCTTATTATTTTAATTTCTCTTTTTCCGTTCTTTACTTTTGTTTAAGTTTTTACTTTGCGAAAATATTTTAAACACCCTAATTCATGTCCTCCCCCTCTTAGGGAAAACTGAATATCAATTAGTTTTGGAGCAGGATTTTTTAACCTTTTCAAAATAATTTTTTGAAAACCTTTTCATAACACACGGATTCCATGAGTTCCCAAAGCATCACCAAGCCACCATTCTTCAATGGTGATAACTACAGTTGTTGGAAAATGCGAATGGAGAACTTCATTCAATCCATCAATTTTTATATATGGATTGTAACGACTAATAGCCCTTTTGTGCCAACTACTACGATTAATGATGTGCAGGTATCCACACCCATGGACAAACTAACGCTGGGCAACAAGAAAAAGCTCTCCTTGAATGCAAAAGCACTAAGGATTTTGTTTTCTATATTGGGTCAAGATGAGTTTGCAAGAGTAAGTTCTTGAAAATTCGCTAAAGAGGCTTGGGAACTCCTAAAAGCTACTCATGAAGGTGACAAGGACACCAAAGCTACTAAGATAGCTCTAGGAACGTCATAGTATGAAAACTTCAAGATAAAGACCGGAAAATCTGTTCAAGACATGAACAAAGAGTTCAACCTCATTATCAAAAATTTGAGTAAGCTAAACAAAATTTATCCCAAAAGTGAGATCAATACAAAAATCATTTTTCCTTACCTAGAGAGGGGCATAGTTTGGTTAAAACTTGCTACCCTAATGTGCGGGTGCTAAAACATCCTCCATTTGGAGTAGCTTATACTCTCATTAGCTTCTTTTAAGAAAATTGAAGGAAGAAGAATAGGTTCCCATTGTAAAGAAGACCATGGAAATTGACGAAAACGTGAGTCAATCGAGAGTCGTGTATAACACTTTCAGATTGAATATTTTGGTTATTCAATCCAAAATTCAATCGGATAAAATTCGAAAGTACCAAAGACGAATATGGATTACTGTGAAATTTCCGAAGAGGAGACGCGATCGCGTCTCTTACCCAAGACATGCGATCCTTCGCGTAAAACCCCTTTGAAAATCGGCGCTATCCTTAGCGAATTTTCCTTTAAAGAAAATTCAAAAATAAAAATTCGACCCCAGCCAAAGGCTCTGCCTCTTGGACCCCGCAGGGGCTGCCGTCCCTTGAACCCTGCTCGGGGGCGCTGCCCCAGAACCCCCGCCAAGGGGGAGCTGCTGCCTTGGAACCTTGATATAATGAGATTTTTATCGTAACAAACTCAATGAAGTGTGCACTCCGCACCACCAAACTTCTTTGATGATTATTAGGAAACCATTGTTCATAATTTTTCCAATTACATTAAAATATATCACATTCCTCCCCTATTTTAGTGTAATCCTTGATTAACTAAACAAATTCATAGCAAAAAACAAACTTATTCATAAATGAAATATCGTGACAATTGAATTTCATCTTAGTACATTACACATTTCAAAGATTCAAATATCAGGGTATCACTAAGGATTGAACCCTTGCTATTCATTTTGAATACTTGAAGATAATATACACAAAAGCTTACATACTTTGATGTTCTAAGTTGACACTGTTATTAGTAGCCTTTTGTCCTAATCCTTCATAAGCATATCGAAGCGAAGTCTCTACTTCTTGAAGCGGCTAAACGTCATGCTCATATAGGTAGTCCTCTTTATTCTTGCACCTGCATATGCAATTTTTCAAAAGAGCTATTAAGAAGACGTACTTCATCCTCCTAATCTTACAAGTCTGAACACATACTTTGGGATAATATACTTAATGTGTTCCAGTTTCTATATGTTAAGATTTTCCACATTGAATTCAGCATTTAATGTCTTATTAGATGGGAATTGGGATTCTTACCATGAGAAATTTAGATAGACTTCAATCCAATCCCTATAGCCGATCTCTGCACAAGGTTTCTGCTTAACCCTTTGTTGAGTCCTTACAAACTCCACTGATATCACACCATGCATAATATTTTCTCGAACAATGCTGTCTTGACTTCCCATTGTAAACTTGACTTTAAGCCTTAGCCAAAGTAGCTTCACTATCACACCGAATAGATATGGGAGATATTGGTTTTGGCCATAATGGAATTTCATATATCATATTTCTTAGCCATTCTGCTTCTTTACCAGCCACTGCCAAAGCCACAACTTCAGACTCCATTGTTAGTTATGCAAGTTTGTTTCTTTGATGCCCAACCAATTGCACCTCCACCGAGAAGGAATATCCATCCACTCGTGGAAGAATGATCTTCCATATTAGTTATCCAACTTGCATCCGAGTATCCTTCTAAAACTAAAGGAAAGTCGGTGTAACACTACAAAAAATGCTAAAATCACGATGGAAAAATTCCATCGCCAAAGCCTAATTTCCGTAGGTAACTCTTATAACAACAAAATTAACGACGGTTTTTTTCCGTCGTTACTCTTTCATTAGTATTAATTTTAACGACGGTTTTTACAATCTGTCGCCAGGAAATGACAGAATTGGCGACAGAAATCTACGATGGTTTTAGCGACGAAAATGACGACCGTTTTAGCAATCTTACCATATAGCGACGGAAATGGTAATCTATCGCCAATTCCATTGCCAATTTGACAGCAACTGCACAGAAACCTTTATTTTTTTCAATTTCACACAACAACATCAACCCGCTCTAAATCACAACACATCATCAACCAACCATCAAATACAAAAAATGAAGAGTATCAAACAACCAAAAATACTCAAATCACCAAGCTACAATTAAAATTCAAATAATATTTATGAAATTCGTCATAACAAAGAAATCTAACTCCACTTACATAGCCATAAAGCTTAAGTTTAATATAATTTTCTTCAATTCTAATAAAATACTCAAAAGCCCCTGCAAACCCCGACCCTCCTCCATCTCCACTGCCATCTCCAATTCCACGTGGGAAAACTCCTCCATAGAGTCGGGTCATCTCTTGTCTAATCGACAATAGTTCACCCACTTGGGAAGCTCTAATTCTATCTAGCTCTTCTCTCAACCTCCTGATCTCATCATCTCGAGGGTCCCACATAGAGTTGGTGCTAGCACGTCTTGCCTCACTTGCATGCATTTGTGGTAGGCTCCGTGCGAGATCTCCAACACCATGAACACGATTCTTGGTATCATGTCCTCTGACTGTAGAGAGAAAAATCTCGTCAAGTCTCACATTTAAGCCTTCTTCACAAACTGCCTCCTGCATGGCTACGTAGTTTTGTTACAATACACAAAACATATACTCCCTCCGTACATAAAAGAACTTCCCGGTTTGACCGTGCACGCATATTAATGTGTGATAAAATTTGCTTTGACTTTCTTATTCTACCCCTGCAACTTTTCATCTTTCAACCCACAGGTATCCAATCCCTGACTGCCAACACCACCTCCGGTGATTCTCCACTACCACCACCGGCGATTATCCACCACTGCCGCCGGCGATTCTCCACCGCCGCCGCTGCCTCTGCTGCCGACTCTCTAGGACCTCTCTGGTTCTTCTTGCTGCCATCCCTTCCGTAACCCCCTCTCTCGTAGATCTAATCTGTTTAGTATCTCTTCCATCCGAGGTTTTGACGGCTTGAGGGAAGGCTAGAAGTAACAGAGGCTTTGTAGATCTATAAAATCGAAGGCGACTATGTCGAAAGAAGACCTGATCTGACTGCCGCGCACCTCCTACCACCGCCTCTCCTTGCTCGCTGCTCCCAATCATTGGGTGACGGGACAAAGTCAAAATAGGGAGGAAAAGGAATTAAAGAAGAAGAAGAAGAAGATTAAGAAGAAGAAGAAGAAGAAGAAGGAGAAGGAGAAATGAAAAGAATGAAGTAGAGAAGAAAAGAAAGAAAGAAAGGAGAGAGAAAAAAGAAAGAAAAAAAGGGAATTGTGGCGTGTGGGTGAATTGAGAAGGGAGAGGAAAAAAAAGAAAAAAGAGAAGAAGAGAAGAATGGATAAGGAAAAAGAAAAGAAAGAGAGTGGAGGGTGGGGTATTTAAGTCTTTTTGCTTGAAAAAAATTTCCAAAAAAGGAAACGGGAAGTTTATTTATAGACGGACGAAAAAGAAAAGTGGGAAGTTTATTTATGGACGGAGGGAGTATGTATATATACTTTTTAACATAAAAAGCAAAATAAAATGAATAGTATAAATTCACATTCAATTGAATTCAACGATATATATATATATATATATATATATATATATATATATATATATATATATATATATATATATATATATATATATATATATATATATATATATATATATATATATATATATATATATATATATATATATATATGAGGAAGAAATCCCGCCTCACTACCACTCAGAGGGGGGAAAGCTACCATCAATTCAAGACCCCTCACCCGTCACTACTCTTCCTATTCAGTTAGAAAGGAGAATCAAGGCTTTGGCTCATAACAACATTATCCCCTCTTAGTGTCCTCACTAGAAGTCAGAGCAAGATATATGGAGTTCATTCCAACCCCTTCCCTCTCCAATGAACTTTCTTTTCTGGAATATTAGAGGGATAGCTTCTTCCAAAGCAAGACTTCTATCCCTTATTAAATTTCACAAAATTTCCTTTCTTGCTGTTTTAGAACCCCTGGTTAGCAACAATAAACTCTCCAGATACTCTCTCTCTAAATTTTTCCAACCACATCTCTGCCCTGGATATTAAAGCCTGGATCTTCTGGGACAATCATACCCTTCAGCTCACTGACACCAAAATGGGTGACCAAGCAGTAACCTGTATATTCAAACAAGTTGAATCAGACAAAAAAGTGGTAATCACATCAGTTTATGGCAGACATAGTTATATTGATAGAAGAAAATTGTGGAATGATATAGAGGATCATTTTGTAGAGGAAGACCTATGGCTGGTTGCTAGGGACTTCAATGCTATTCTTTCTCATAATGATCATAAAGGTAACTCTTTACCTGATCCTATTAGTATGGAAGAATTCACTCAATGCATGGATATGGCCAATCTCACACCTATCAACCCTGAAAGCAACTTCCTCACATGGACTGGTAAAAGAGGAAGAGGACAGATATGGAGACGTTTAGACTGGGTTTTTGTCAATCCACCCATGCTTCAACACTATGAAAGTGTCTCTCTTCAACATCTCAACAAGACAGGCTCAGACCACTCCCCCCTTTTGGTGAAATGCTCCACACTCAAGGAAGTTGGTCCTAAATCCTTTAGATACATCAATGCCTGGGCAAATAACTCTTCTTTTTTGCCACTCATTGAAAAATTCTGGAAAGAAAACCCTAATGTTGGTAGAATGTTTGGTCTTCATCAGAAGTTTAAAAGGCTCAAAAAGGTTCTACAGGCATGGAACAAAGACACTTTTGGAAACATTTTCACTAAGCTATCACAAGCAGAGGAAAAAGTTAATATTGCTGATGTCAACTTTTCCAATGACCCCTCCCCTGCAAACAGACAGACTCTTTCTAAAGCTAACGCTGAGCTTCAATATGCAAGCAACAATGAGTTAGCCTATTGGAAACAAAAATCACACATTAATTGGATGGACCTTGGTGACAGAAACTCAAAATTTTTCCAATCTTATGTCAAGGACAGAAGACAAATGCTCAAGATTAGGAAAATCAAAGGGGAAAATGGAAGATATATAGAGGACCTTGAGGGAATCAAGAGAGAAGCTGTGAAACATTTCTCTAAGGTCTTCACTGCCACACCAATTCAAAACATAAATGAAATCCTCAGGCATATTCCCATAACAGTTTCAGAAGAAGACAACAACATGTTTCATGCCTTACCTGACATCAAGGAGGTGAAGGAAGCAGTTTGGGCTCTTAATCCAAACAGTGCCCCTGGACCAGATGGATTTAATGGAGATTTTTTTCAGGAAAACTTGGCATATTATTGGTCTTGAAATTTGTATGGCTTCTAAAGAATTTTTCCTTGGTATTTCTGTCCCTACAGGTTATGGTGCTACCTGGTTGTCCCTAATCCCCAAAAAAGTAGATACTGCTTCATTAGAAGACTACAGGCCTATCTCTCTATCTACTTTTCTTAGTAAAATCAATACTAAGATCCTAGCGTCAAGACAACTCAAGATCCTGCCTAGGATAATCTCTAGCCAACAAATTGCCTTCCAAAAGGGTAAAGACATTGCTGATCATATTCTACTAGTGGAGGAAGTGTACCATGAGATCAACAGAAAAGTGGAAGGAGGTAACATGATTATCAAAATTGACTTATCTAAGGCCTTTGACAGATTGAACTGGCTGAGGGGTATCCTGGAGCTTTTGGTTTCAATGCAAAAAATCAGAACCTCCTTTTAGCTAATCTGAAACCCTCAAAATTCTCTGTCCTAGTCAATGGAAGTCCATTAGGGTTCTTTAAGATGACTGGAGGGGTTAAACAAGGGGATCCCCTTTCCCCTCTTTTATTCATAATTGGTCTAGAAGGGCTTAACAGATCTCTCAACTTTCATCATCACTCAGGTTTTCTCACACATTTCAATGCTGGAAGAGTCCCCATCCCCACCCACCTAGCTTATGCAGACGACCTTGTCATCTTCACTAATGGTAGAGCAAGAAATCTTCTTAGGCTCTCCCACATTATTTCAGATTTCCTCCTAGCCTCAGGGCAGCGAGTTAAATATCAGAAGAGTAAATTCTATACGTCCTCAAATGTATAGCCTTCTGCTATCACAGCCAAAGAAAGAGCCCTGAAGATTACACATGACAGAGGTCAGCTGGTTTATCTTGGGGTACCAATCTGTAAAGGGATACTAAGAAAAGATGACTGTAATTTCCTTCTCCAACATTTTGACAATCTGCTTTCTTCTTGGTACAACAAATCCCTTAACTCTATGGGGATGCTCATTCTTATCAAATTCACTCCTACTTCCATCCCATCTCATCTCATGGCTGTTCACAATCTACCAAAATCAATATCTTCTAACATGATAAAGAGGATGGCAAACTTCCTTTGGGGTTTCAAGGATGGAAAATCTAAACACCATTGGGTCAGCCTTTAGAAGCTGGAGGATTAGGGATCAAACATATGGACAATATCCAAGAAGCAAATGCACTCAAGCTATGGTGGAAAATTAACAATAGCAATGGGGAGTGGGCAGCTTTCATGAGGAAGAAATATTGGAGAGATGGGAACTTCAGTTACAAACCTACAGACTCACCTACATGGAGAAGAATTGGTAAAGTTCACTCACTTGCAAGAAGCTTCACTTACTTAATTGATGGTCAATACAGGTGGAGGGATGGGGATTTCTACTTCAGCAAGGCCATCTCAGCTTCCATTAATGGCTACTGCTCCACTCTGTCCAGCAAGCTGATCTGGCACAAACTTCAGATCCCCAAAATCAGCTTATTCCTTTGGAAGCTATATTCTGATGCTCTCCCATTGTCGCACAACTTGAAAAAACTTTCTTTCCAACTTCCATCAATCTGTCGTCTATGTATGAGGAATGAAGATTCATCAGATCACTGCTTCCTTCACTACCCAGCTGTCAAAGAAGTTTGGGGTCATTTCACAGATATAATCGAGGGACCAAAAATTATCACAAATTGTAAGATTAATCAATACCTTCTACAATGGTTCATCAAGGCAAAAGGGAAAAGTTTCACAGCTCATCTTCAATGTGTCATACCAGGAATCATAGTCTGGATAATTTGGAAAGAAATCAAAGCAGCAATTCATGAGAACATGAAAAGCTCTACAACAAGAATGATAAAAAATATTCATTGGGAAATTCAGGGTTGGATTTGGCTGCACAGGAAGAAGAAATGGATGATTTTGGAAGGAAACGCTACCCCTATTCCGAATCATTTTTGGATGAATGGCAAACGGCTGAAAAAGAAAGTGAGATAATTAATTTAGGAATGATGGGGTATTAAATTAGATTAAATGTCGCTTGTTATTTAGGACTTTCTCGTGAAGTTCTAGATGTAATGAAAGGTAATCTACATACAGTAGTGATTTTTTTATAGCATTTTGTTATTAACTATTCATAATTATGAGTTTGTGTACAATAACTATTAACAAATTGGATTGTTACTCAATATACATGTACTTAGCTATTGTTAAGTATATGTTGTTGTTTCAAGTGTAACAAATCACAATGACTTATAGATTTTGATTTGTAATTAGAATCTTCCAATGTCCAACCAAATAACACATGTAGGATTCAATCGAGACTCTGTAGGATTTTTTTGGAGTTTAAAAGTCTGTGTGTATTCAATTGAGATTTTAAAAAATCATTTAAAATCTGTAGGTATTCAATGAAGATTTTTAAAAATCTTTCTAAATCTAATGATATTGAAAAAATAATTGATTTTTAAGGATTGTTAGAAAATATGGATTGTGAAGGATTCTAGGCTTGAAATATAAATAAAAATTTTGTTTTCAAATCCAACCAAAAGCCTAAGGATTTTGTGTGGACTCCAAATCTACCTATCCTTCTGCCCCTCTTTCTACACGGTTCTTCTTCTTCTTCTTCTTTTCTCAGGCCATCCTCTCGCTCAA